AAAAAAAAAAAAAGCCATAAAAACTTCTACTTTTTAAGAATATACATCATTTGAACATGTGATCAAGTGCTATTTGCAGACAACAAAAGAAAAGGAGATAAAAATGTAAGCAGACTGCAAAAGAATTTGGAAGATTTTTTATAATGGGGAGATATTTTAGGCTTTTATCTCAACTTCAAAATCCCATGTCTACAAAGAGAGTATTTTTAGTGCATGAACAGAAGGAAACCAGAGTGAGTAAATGAATTAAAATTTAAAAGAAAAAAAAAGATTTTTTTCAAAAAAGTTATAGACAATAATAATTAAATTAACAATTACTGACATACTCTGGGTAACTCTAATTATAATATCTACATTTATAAATTATTATAATATTATAATTACATTATTACAGCTGAATTGTAAATAGTATTTAGTATGATTTGGAATATATATAAATAAGAGCATGAGCAGAAGTTTAAATCTATATAAAGTCACGAACAATTACAAGTTCAAGCTAATGGATTTATCAATCCACAACCCGTGAATTTTAAAGTAAGAAGCTTCAGTGTAATGGCAGGATTAGGAAGCAAAAGCATTTTGAAAACTAACATGAATATTTTAAAAGTACAGAATTTCACTCTTTTTTACTCTTTCCTGTTGCCATCAAGACATAATGCTTGGCAGTAAGAGCATTTATGACCAAAAATACTTGCCAACACACCTTCTTGTAAATAAGGAAAGATAAAATGCTCTTCCTCCTAATTCCAGACATATACTTATAGTAGCGGCAAACAATATGCAATTCTTTCTCCAAGAATGAGCCAAATACTATAAATTACATTCCATGACGTTTTTCTCCATCCCAGATATAAATACCAGTTACATAGTTTTCCAGTCACAGAAGATTGAAAACCCTTTCAGCTAATTAAACAATGAAAAATAAAAGACTGTTTCTGTCAGTGCTGATTAATGTATGCATACAATATATGCTCAAGAAGGCAAGAAGGTAAAATCAAGAGGTGCTGGTGCACTTAGAAGTATTTTATTCAACATTATATGGAGGTTCAGCCATGCAAGATACTTTTTTATGTTGCTGGCCAAAGGCCAGAGTATAGAATATCCTGCAGGATTAGTCATTTACTCTTTTTTTTTAATTTAACTGAACTCCTGTCATGCTTAAAGTTACACTTGTAGTCACATGCTTTTTTGATCTAGCTGACTATTTATATTTTGCAAAAATAAGCATTACAGAAAGCCAAATACTGGGCAGAGCCTGTACCTTCATACATGTAATGTGTGTAGCTTGACTGCTGAGGTGGCAATGACTTTAAAAAATAATTCACAAGGAAAATTGCTGATGTATTACGGCTGGAAAAATCAAGCCCATAAGGGGCCCAATCATGTATTTCTTGCGTATCAAGATATCACTGAAGTAGTTTGTATGAATAAGACTACAGAATAAGTTACAGTTAAATATTTTTGCACCTCTATTTTTACATATTTCAAAATGAAGTATAAAAATCCTATTTCAAACAGCTTGGCCACATTAAGATTTAAAATAGTCCTGATTTGTCAATTTCTATAGCTGATCAAAATCTGAGTAAAACCAATGCTGGTACTGACAGAAATTTTAATTTTCAGATGTTACTTACTGACTGCAAGAGGTGTCTCACTGGCAACTACAGAACTGAAGTGCAGATCCATTTCTTTCTATAAAATCTAAAAGAACAACCTTTGCTGCTGTGCACAAAAATTCATGCCAGTACACACAAAGATTTGCATAGATAATGTACTTAGAAACATACACACTGCATATAGTATTACTTAGGTTGTCACGAAACCATGTTCCTTAATTTCTGTTGATATGATGTATATTCTGGCATATATTTGCTTAGACTTTAAAATGCTGCCATTGCTCATGCTGTATGTAAATTATATGGCTACATACACGAGGGCTTCAAGCCTGTAATTTTTGCAAAACTGGTAGGTTGTGTTTGTGATATATAGGAACAGAGGTATCATGTGTAGGAAATGAAAATAAGATTAAATGAAAAATGAAATATATGAGGTTTTTTCCTTGAAAGTGCATGTGTACAAGTGTATTTTTTTTTTTTTAATCCTCAACAGAAAAGATCTGACTTCTATTACTACTTAAAAACATTGGTCTGATGCTACATATTACAGAAACATACAAATACTTCCAGTTTTCAAAAAGAAACAGGGCAACAGGGCTCCTTTTTGATGGCTGTTAAGCAAGAGCAAAGCTCTCCCATGATAAACCAAGTGAATTTATTCTCATCACAAGACACTGGCAATATTGGGTTGGATTGTGAGTCCTGCATTCCTTTGACTTCTCAATAATCTGAGTCAAATAAGAAAAGCACTTATTTTCCCACCAAGTGACATATAACAATTTATCTGAACTGAAGCTACTTAAGTTCCCTTTTAAATGCAAACACTGTTTCAAATATAGAGGTATAAAAGGTGCAAAACCCCCCTCCTATAGTGGATCACGCAGAATTTAAACATCCACTTGAAGTGTGACTAGGCTGGTGAAGGACAAAAGCATATTTATTGATTTCACATTATTAATGGCTGAAAATAGCCCTAATGTGTACCCTCATTATAGCTATTTATTATATGGCATATATACCACTCTCAGTCAGTTTAATAGTAAGTCCTTTAAGACCTACTGTCAGATTAAACTTCATTCTAAAATTATATTTTATCAAAATAAGCATTCTGAGAATTTATGTGAAACAAAATAATCCCATGCTATAAGATTACAATATTAAAAATAAAAAATAGAGCTTTCCTGACAAAAAGGGGGAAAAAGGTGACATATCTAAGTGTAAACTTAACATCTTTATTTTTTTATTTCGTATGATAAGTAAAACAGGTTTCTTCAAAAGAGAAAAACATTGCACTTTCAAGATTTTTGTGACCCACAGTGAAAGAGCATAGAGTATGAGTGTTAAATGAAAAATGAAAAACCATTGCAAGGTAAAAAGCATTTCTACATGTCTTTGGTTTTGAACCCCCCTTTTTGAAAAGGAAACAGAACAATCAAAACAAAATATATACAGAAGAAACAACATTGAGTACATCACAAAAACAAGTAAGAAACACATTTGCTAAAGAACCATCAATGTTGTTACCAGTGGGGGTTCCAGGGTTTGGAAAGGGAAGGTAGTACCAGTCAGAGGAATATCAGGAGAGGGAGCTTACAATGCGGACAGTACAAAGAAACAGTTGGAATAGAGCAATAAATCTCACATCCATGTTGACTCAGTACAGGGCTTTCTACCTATTGCCAAGGTTGACATGGGACCAGAAACAAGCACTGCCCTGGGGGAAATGTTGATTCTATTCCCATAAGTGTCAACAATAGTTTTTCTTTGACTTTGGGAAGAATAGTTTCAAGCTTACACGTTGTAAACTCAATGACAATTACTCATTAATATGCTTTTGCATCAGATTCAGATGACATTAGAACAGGCTATAGTGCACATTTTATATTCCATCATTCCCTTGGGAATCAATAAAATGACCTTTAATTGAGGAGTAATTAATTACTCATAGAGTATCTCCCTCTAAAAAAGGAATGGGAGAAAACATTTGCACATCTTTGGTATTTCCTTTGTAGTATTTACAGTTGGTTATTCATAGGATTGCAAACAGACATATGTTCTCAGGTATCCCATAAAATCTAGGATACTTCAAAACTGTTCACTACAGGAGTTTCCCCACAGACACACTGGCTGGGCTTTCATAATGCTGTCAGGTATTAATACCAGTACCTGTACAGCTCTTATGTAAACTACTTTTCAGCAAATTGAAAAAGGTGTGCTTTATAATATTAATAATTATTATTATTATTTTAAGGTAGCATAATATCAAGAATAATGTAACCCTGAAAAGGAAAAGTACAGTCTTTTTTTGGTTTGGCTTTGCTTTCTTCTGTTTTGTTGAGTTTTCAATAGCTGGATATTAATACATAAAAAAGGCATTGTTAGCAAATATTATCCCTTTGTGCCAAGAAATCTTTGACATAGTGTGATTACCATATCTTGACATTGCTGCTGCTCACTAACAAAGAAAACAAAACCACATGATCCTAGCTTTAAAATTTCCACTGAGAAAACAAATAAAAATCCAGATCACCCCTCTCCCCAACACTTGGCTAATGAAAATACATCTGCAGTGTTTAAGCTTATTGTTTCTGCTGAATGGAATACTCATTTTGTATTTTAAATTCTCGTTTCTCATGGCAACAGGAACATCTAATGGCAACTGCTCCTACAAAGCTCTTCCTTTACTTGAAGTAAGGAACCTTTGAGGTATAGGAACCTTAACACATCAAGTAGCTTTCAGAGCAAGGAAGAATCACCTACAAACATTATTGATTTCTCTAAATTAGTAATGCACCACCTCTTTCTTGTATCAACTCCTGACCACATTAGATAAACCTAGCCAGTGGCAAATCCTCTCCTTACTAACCACCCTCAAATCCTCACTGGATCCACCACTGATTTCCTGTGCTTGCACAAATAATGCAGCGATAAAGCCACATTCAATACACAACATAAATACTACAGAAGGACTATAGCACAAGGCTTTTTATGTGTATAGGCATACTTTTTTTTTTTTAACATTCATCCATTGCAAATAGTGGGCTCACTAAAATGAAAAGAAATAAAAAAGAACGGAAAAATAAGTTTAAAAAAGCTTGCTGCTCTTACATCTAGTGTGCCAGTTACTGTGCAAATCCTGAGAAAGGAAGGAAGAACAAAGTGGGGAGAGGTGACACAAAAATCAAGAATTTTGGAATACACAATTGTAATAATAGAAAAGAACCCACTAGTTTAATAGCCTCTTAGGAACAAAAAGTCTAATGGTGTTCAGGAGCTGTACAGTGCTGACACAAAGCTAAGAGCAGGAAAAATAAAGAATAGGCAGTTGGTTTTAATAATTACCACGCTCAAGAGTGATGACTGAGGAAGGGAAGACAGGACAATTAGTTCAAAGAAAAAGAAACAGAGAAAAAAGAAAAAAAAAAGTTGAGAAATTGTTTTTAGCAAATACAAAATATAGTTAGTATTGGTTTTGGCAAAATTAGTTCTATACTAAAAGAGAAAGATCAAATAAACAGAAAATAAATTTAAAAATCCCTCAAATGAGGAAGCACAAAAATACTCCAACATAGGTAGAGTCAATTATGCAGCATTTAAAGATCTATTTATATTTACATGCAAAATCAGTCATTTCTAGAAATAGAGGCAGCAGTCAAAAGAAAAATGAGCTGGTATCTTGACAGTTCATTTCAAAATCCAGCCTTACAAATAATAAATATAATAATTTAGTAGAAATGTGCCCAAAAGAGCAAAACATTATGCAGAATAACCTTCAGTAAAACATCAAAGTAACAGCCAAAACCTTATATGCCAGATAGCTGCGTCAGTGCTCAATCCACAATCTTGTGACCAAATTTTATCCACATGGGTTCACTTTATTTTTTTTTTACTCATATAAGTCTAGCAGTATTTGATCTATAATTTAAACTGTGGGAGCACTTTTGGAGAAGCAGCATTTATGATCAGTCTTGAAGTCATTCAGTCAAATGTAATAGTTTGTGATTTTGATTTGAGACAAGCAGTTGGAATATTCAAAAATATGCCATATAAAAGAGCTACAGGCACAATAGCCAGTGAGATATTCAGCTTTGCAGGTATGAATTATGAACCCCGAAATGCAATAATGATTATACAGTCAAGCTTTTTTACCATGTTTTTAAGACAAAAGAACATGGTAAAAGATTAGGTCACTGTTGGATTTAAACATAAAAATGTACCATAAAAAATACTGAAGATATGGGGAGAAAATGTGCTTTGGTAGCTCTATTAAGTCACATAAGAATGAACCTAATGTTTCCAGACAATCACAGTAAGGGAGTAGTAGAAGTTACTGTCAGACAGAAGAAAGAAATTGACAGTGAACTGACAACACAGAGGGTAGAAAGCCAAATTGGTTCAAAGTCAAAAGTAAAGTGAAAATTTTGTAATATTTCCCCAAAGACAAACAGAAAAGAATTATTTCAAAGAAAAAACTTCCCCAGCAAACTTTTTTCCAAACAGGAGATACAGTTCCCTCAACCTCTAATATTTAACTTACAGCTTAACTAAATTGTCTGTTTTTCACTCCAGCCAAGACAGTTTAAGAAATCAGGTGGGAACTCTTAATTTCATTTTATGCTGAAACTGCTTAGGGACTTCTGAAATGGTCCACATGCATAAACACTGCTGTTTGTAACTAGAATCTGTTTTCAGTTTTACATGTAATGCCTTCACTTCTGAATGATGAGTAAGAGTCCTCTGAGACCATTCTGAAACTCAACACATGGTAGTGATTTACTATTTACAACCATGGGCTTAGGTATATTAAATATAAACCATTCTTAGGACTCATATTTTAGCTTCAGCCTCTAGATATATATTTACAGGGTTCTTTCAAATTCGTCTTGCTTCTGCAAAATGTAAAAGAGAATAGTTCATAGATCATTTCTGTTAAATCGTTAGTACCTGATCCCTCTTCAGTTACCATGCCAAGGCCTTCTGCTTTGTTTTGGCGTTCAAATGCATTTAGGTCAAGAACACTGCAATAAGAAAAATCATATTTGTCCTGTGATTAATTAAATATATGTAAAATTTCATTTTGTGAAAGATAGAGAAGGATTAGTGATTTCATTTAAGTGCATAATCATACCAGTGTCAAGAAGATATATTTCAGTGGCTTAAGATATGTGTCTCTTGTACAAGACTGTGAAACTCATCTCTACAGAGTTAACATGCTTTTGTCCTGCAAATGGCAATAGAATTTAGCTCTTTATGATTGACCACAAAAAGGGAATGTGTTTATGATATACATACTCATTTTAGGGGTTACAAAGAAGCCATATTATTGACTACTTTTATATTATATCTAGTTCACCCCAAACAGCAAGATTTGTTAAGAAAATATGACATTATTAGTTCCACCCAGTGTTCCTCTTGCTCCACATTCTGAAAAACTGAAGCTGCCAAAGGGGAATATGCATTCATATCAACTTCTGCCTTTCATGGCTTAGCATGTCAGCTAGCCACAGATAACTTTTGTTCATAAGCAAGAATGTCTACGAAAGTCAGATGAATGTAGATGAACTATAGCAGTAGTTCCGCTGGCAAGACTCCTCCTTGATTTCAATATTAAACTTGGTCAAAAACAGCGTTAAAAAAAAAACAAACAAACGAAGGATATAACATGGTACCATGGTATAACATGGTACCTGGCATAATGGAATAGATTGATCCAGGAAGCCCCTTTTAGTCCTATGTTTTATGTTAATAAATGCATTATTTGTTGATATGGTTTATTATTGGGAATTATATATAAAACATTCAAAATATATATATTTATATATATAAAACCAATATAAACTGTCAAGAAGCATGAATGGATGAAAAAGTCACAGTACCTCCACAGTTTACTAAAACATAATATTTAATTCCTTTTTCTGCCTTCTAAAAAGTCCTATTAATATTTAAAACAAAGTTAGGTTTTCCCAAAATCTCTATGATTACTTAACTTTTATAATTAACCTGGTCTCTGCAGGATCACAGGATACCTCTAGAGTTGAGAATTTGCCCCTGAGGAATGCTCTAATTCTGGAGTTGTTTTCTGGCATAACTCAAGTAGGCATAGATGCCATAAACATTTGTGAAAAGAGTTCTTTTACCAAGGTGGATCCATACCATATGAAGATTTTCATACAATGAGCACCACCTTTCCTTTATGCCAAATCTAGCACATTACAGTCTCCAGATGCTCTTTACAAAAAGTAAAATAGAATAAAACCTAAATGCACAATAATAAATTTTTAAAGTAGATATTTTCTTACCTACAGGTCTGCATAAGACCAGCAAGGCTCTGAAAGAATCCCACATCCTTTTTATCCTTGAGGTAGTCAAGCATTTTCTGCAGTAAGCACAAATAATTTACACAGAGAATTAGTATTTATATTATGTGCTAATCTAGTTAACTTAATACTATATGGATTCTAGATTAGTAGTGATATTGGTATTTTGAAACATACTAATCAAAGTAAAGAACCCCAGAGGATGATGAAGATGACTTTTCAAAATCACTTCTGTATCTCTCCCCCCACCCATACCATTCTTCCCAAGGAAAACTGAAGAGTTGATCTTGGGATCTAAAGGAAAATCGGAAAGGTAAGCATAGAGGCAACTGAAAAAAGAGCAGTTCTAACTGTATTACTGATGCTTTTATAAGTATATAATTTAGACTAGTAGTATTAGTATTATTGTAACCGTACTAATAACTGTTTCCTCCATTCTAACTAGTTAAGACTTGATCATACCATTTTAAAAAATTTAGATTGTAGCATTACAAATTCAGATTAAATAACTATGTACAAATGCCATGATTTTCCTAAGTAATTTAATATCATGACATCACAAAGACCTGGCAATGGCTCAAGCAGATACTTTTTTGCACAATCTGTGGTCTTTCTGGTCAGTTCCTGGTAATGATAGCCTCTGAAAAGATCATTTTTGGCTGCGTTCAGCTGCTTCAGTGGTTGCTTAACTTAGGACCTCAACTGTCCCCATTTGTCTGTACTTTTCAAACTGTCCTACAGTAACATAATAATGGCAGGCATGAAGACTTCTGGACTCAGGAACCTTGAACTAGTACAGAACACCAAATGTACTCTGTATCATTCTCTTCAACAGTGCAGAATAACATTAGTTTATCAGACTTGTCCACTGCTCACCACATTATCTTACTATAGATTAGTAAATCAAGTTTGAGTTCTCTGCTTTTATCACCAAGACTCTCCATGGCATAAGCTTGCGTAAAGTGTGTGACTGAACTTGTATAACTTCTTTTTTTGGTAAAGACTGGGGTCAGTAATTTTACTCTGTCGGCTACAGGACAATGTCAATCTCCCAAGAAATCCTTCCCTCCCACAGAATTCCTCTAGAAATTAATGATTTCACATAAAATCTCCCCCTTCCAGCTGAAGTGCAAAACAAATTTATTTTAGCCTTGTATTCTGTAGATTAATTATATATATACAAATAAGAAATAAATACCTAGCAAATAAAGTACTTTTGTACGCTATATCCTCCTAGGAACAAGAGTAAGAGGATAATCAGCATCTGACAAATAGTCCCATTACATAATGCACTACTACAATAACAATGACTGTAACATAAATATCTGTAAATTAGTACATTACCTGTTGAACAGTAGAATTTCCTCCATTTAAGATGGCAATCCCTAGCTTTAGGGTAGCTGCAACCATTGGACCCATCTCACCTTAAAATTAGTTTAAAACAGACTTTTAGATAATACATAAAAATAAGAATGTTCTATTAACTTCTCCATACAATTACTTAAATGGTAATTTATCGGGAGAGGCCTTTTTGTCTCTCTTTTAAAACAGACCTATTTTTCATTCATGATCTCTAGTGTGACTTAGTATCTTCCTGAGTGCCTACAGATATAGTGCAATGCATACACAGCACAAATAAAAGAAGCAAGGTATAAGACAGCAAGAACTGAACTCAATGAATATAAATCATGTTTCATTTGCTAGAGCATCCAACAGTTGATTTAAAGCTGGTTGCACAATTTTAAGCTAGCTTTCAAGTTTAACAATGTGTCTCCTCTACATGCCAATCTAGATTTTTTTTTTGTTTGTTTGTTTTTTTCAGAAAATGACAGTGATGCAAAGCATTTAGTTACAGTAAATGAAATTTGTAAACAGGAATTTTTTTAAAAATCAGTACTATAGAAACAAATAACAGAACAGAAAATGAAAGCACCTAACTTTAGAGTTAGATGTGTCTAGGGGACAAAAGCATCATTCACACTTCTGAAATGTTTTATAAAATTACACCAATAAAGCAGATATTTGGGGAGTGGTGGAGGGGAAAAAAAGGAGCAAATGTTGCACCTACTTCAGAACTGTATACATCCCAGAATTTGAGGGGCTTTTTTTCACTGCATACTGCTAAAACTATGAACTTTTTCACACTTCCTCTCAATCACCACTAGAAAAATTAATAATAACAACAATTACAATAACCTCATAAGAATTACTCACTATGCTTTTTTGGATTAGCTGTCAATAATTTTTGAAATTTTGGGTGCATTTTGAAAGGAAACTTTAGTGTCAAACATCTGCAGATTTTGCCCAATAAGAATTACAATAATTTCAAAGATTATTAGAAATAAGGTTTAATGTGTAACCTACACAACAAAACATTACCTTTACTAGCACTGATTGTCTGCAGAACCATCTCAGCAGCACCTCGGTCATGTAGTCTGGCTTGTTGATATAGAAGTTTTTGCTTTTCCATTTCTTTTTCCTGAATAAAAATTCCAGTCATTGAAGATGAGGACTTCAGTTACTATCAGTTCTCCAAAGGTTTTTGGTTTTCTCTTAGTATATGGGCTCTATGGCAACATCATGGACCATTTTAATACATACAATGCTACTGAACAGATATTTTACATGTTCAAGTATTATTCTCCCCTCGGTATTTTTCTTTCATATGCTTTTAGCAGTTTATCTGAAAAAAGTCATGTCAATTGTAATCATTAAATTAGTTCAAAGCCCATGCTCATTATATATATACTGCATATATCAAACTTGCACTTTTGTGCTGTGTTTTTGTGCAACAGTTCATACTCTTAATATAAATCTTCTATAGCATGACAATAACTTCATACTGCTCAGTATGTAGCTCTTGAGTTGCAAGTTGTTGCTGAATACCAGAGTAACAGAAACATATCATTGTATTACAATATAGATTGCCCACCCTAAAAACAAAATATTTGACAGAATACACTGTGCTTTTATATTTTGCACTCTCTAGCGGAAACAAACAATACTGCATGGTGTTGCTTGAGCAATGGTGAAGTTTGTTCTTTATAATTTAAACTACTACTGAAAACATAAAGAAGAACAAAGAGCAAACATAAAGGCACAGTTAATTCCAGATGAGTTCGAACTTTCACCAAGTTAATTGAAGTTTGCTGGAGAATTGAGGATGACTAAGCAGTATAAGTTGAAAAATGGAAGTTGCATAGAGCCCTATGACAGTGAGTCCATCAGATGGTGTGGTAAAAAGCTTACTCAAAAAGAACATGACACAATCAGTTAGTATCATGTCCAAAAACACAACGCCCAAAACATGTATGATCTAAAAGCAGGAACAGCTGCAGCAGAAGTAGCCAAAGTGACAGCTTTGCTGCCATAAACTTTCCATCCAAGTCACGGAAAAAAAGACATTGGAAGATGGAAGAGGTTTAAAAAATGAAGGCTTGCTAAATAGAGGATATGAATAATAAATTAAAAAAATAAGAGGTAAAAAAGAGAAATATGGTCAAATGAATGAAAAAGAAACCTTTAACCGAAAAGCAAACCAACACAGACATTTATGCTGTTACCAGAGAGTTCTCGCCGAGGCTGACAAATTTGTTTCTTAAATCTTTGATAATACCGTGCTGCGGAAACAAAATTCATCAGGGTTTTGTTTTTTTTTTTTTCCACACTAGTAGTTCTCCTGTGGTTAAATTGTATCTTTTTTTTTTTCTTTAAATTATGTGACAGATCTAGATGGAGGCACAAAAAGGAAAAAAAAAAAAAAATGGCAGCTTTGCTTCATATTTAGCCATGCTAAAGTTTGAAAGTTTTGCCTTCATGTTTAAACCTCTTCCTGGGTGTTCAACAAAAACAAAACAGAAATATACACACATACACACACGCACACACGCAAACACACAACACACACATAAACCACCAGAAAATCATGACATCACAGGTTCAGTATAGCTACGACAGAATATTTTCATTTGCTTCAGATGCCACTGAAAATTGCTCAGTGTTTCTTTTTTTTTTTTTTTAAAAAAATCCTATTTCTACTTTTAGCTTTAGACCCAACAGTCTTTCACTCTTCCTCTATTGCAAGATTTTTTATTCACTTTTGTTCACAAGCCTAACATCAGCTATACTACTTTATACATTTTTTTTTAAAAAGTTTTTAGGAGTGCTTATAGAGAGGATGTATCTGCACTATCTACAGACTAAAAGAATGGGTATGCACACTTCTTGTAATGTCACTACGGCAAAACAGGAGAAATGGGCATTGCCAAACAGCTTAAAGTGAGAGGAGTGGCATTTTCCACGGAAATCAAACTGTCTAGGTAACTAGTAACAAAGCAGACCAAAAACCAAAAATAATCCACCAACAAAAAAGCACCACAAACATTTTTTCTAAAAGCAAACATTCCTTTGATGATAACCCCCAAAAGATCATGGTTCCTTCTTCAAAATGACAATGCTTTTTCACTGTTGCTTTCTCCATGCAGTGTTAATATACATATATATATATATATATTTACATATATATATGATGGCAGCACTGATATCAAGTGGGCTACCCATTGCATACAAAGTATACTAAATTAATAGAGCTGCTGGCTTATCAAGGTATCCCCATTTCTCTAAGATGTGCTTACTGCTAACACTTATCTATGCTACCAGCAGTTTTTTGCACTTTATTGTTCTTGTCAGTTGATGTCAAGCAAACTACCAAAATAATTAGCCAGTGGTTTGACCTTTCTGTCAGTCACAAAACCATCACAACAGCAAAAATACTTCATACTAAATGAAACATTTAAATTAATTCACCAGATTTTTTTTTTTTAAGACAACAAACAAACCAAACAAAAACCTACTCAAAGAAAGCCAAGTCTATTTTATCTTGGGTGTTTTCCATTTACATAGGAAAAAGCTGACCACGTAGAAGCATACGTACATGTATTGCCACATTATAGACTTTCTCCAGCAACCTACCAAACCAAGGAAACCTTTTCATCTTATTCTTTGAAAGCAGAGACCCAAACATTTTCTACTTAATTCTAGTTAAAAAAAAAAAAAAAAAAAAAAAATCATTACAAGCAACTGTATGCCAAAAAACGCACATTGGGCAAAACCCCAAGTTTTAGCTTGAATTCGTAGGCATCAAACTTGCAAAAACTAAATAGCAGCTTTAACTGACAAGCTCACCACTGAAATTCTTTATTTTCTCACAATCCACACAAAGAATGATTCTTGGAGCTAAGCCATATGGAAAGGTTTGTTTGCTGATACCACTAAGCTTGCAGGCATATGATCCTACTTCTACATTTTTTAATGTGAAATTATGAAATAGTTAAAGAGTAAATGGAGTAAACAAGAAAATGGAAAGAGAAGAAATTACTTTCAACTTAACTGTTCTAAGATGAAAGTTTCTCCTTTGAATTGTCTTCATATTTTATACTATTCAAGACCTCTGCTTACTTTAGAGAATAAATCCTATTAGATAGGTCTTACACTGGTAAATATCTGCTAATTTCAGTACCAGGCATACATGAGTACAAGCTATGTGTTAAAACATCAAGCACTCGAGTAGAATCTTTATGTATATTAAGCCTTTAAGCTCAATAAATGCTGTTTTATGCTCTAAAAAAAGTTGAATTTTTCCTAAATTGTTCATTATGGACTTTATCTGTTCTAAAAGAGTATACATAAAATGAAAAAAAAATGCATTATAATTCCTGAAGAGCAAATATGTAGGATTTTAAGAGTGCTAGAGGAATTTATTTTATCAGATATGCTTTCCATATTACTTAAAGAAATATTTCAATCCCTGCAATTTCACAGTCTTATTTCTGTTTCTGCTAAAAGTCTCAACCTCAAAAGATTTTTTTTTTCTAGTTGAAAAGCAATTTTTAACTAGCTGATATGATGTCAATTAATATACCTCACCGAGCTGAATTATCTTTTCTATATTGAAACCTGTCATTATCCAGGTTATCATACAACAAAATGAATTATTTAAAGTACAGATGGTAAAATATAAGAATAAGGCAAACAGGTGTGCTGGTTTTGGCTGGAATAGAGTTAATTTTTTTCATAGTAGCTAGTATGGGATTGTGTCTTGATTTGTACTGAAAACAGTGTTGATAACACAGGAATGTTTTTATTATTGCTGAGCAGTGTTTATAAAGAGTCAAGGCCTTTTCTGCTTCTCACACTGCCCCACCAGAGAGGAGACTGGGGGTGCACAAGATGCTGGGAGGGGACACAGCTGGGACATCTGACCCCAACTGACCAGAGGGATGTTCCACACCATATGATGTCACACATGCTCAGCATACAAAGCTAGAGGAAGAAGGAAGGAGGGGATGTTCGGAGTTATGATGTTTGTCTCCCAAGTAACCGTTACATGGGATGGAGTCCTGCTTTCCTGGAGATGGCTCAACATATGCCTGCTATGGGAATCAGTGAATGAATTCCTTGTTTTGCTTTGCTTGCACGTACGGCTTTTACTTTATCTATTAAACCTTCTTTATCATAACCCACGAGTTTTCTCAGTTTTATCCTTTCAATACTCTCCCCCATCACACTGGGGGTGGAGTGATCAAACAGCTGTGTGCCACTTAGTCGGCGGCTGGGGTTAAATCACAACAGGAAACTTGGAGACTAATAAACTGCTAGCATGTAAAATAATTAAAATACAATTAATCTCAAAATTGAATTTAATAATAAATGGACATTCAAGCCATTTCTCCGCCACTTACTGTGCTTTCTTTTCCTGTGCACTCTTCCTTAGTTTAGGAATACTTACCTGTCTCAATGCGAGGCATCTATAAGCCTTCTATCATTTGATATTACTTCAATGATATAAGTAAATACTTCTGATAAATAGGTTCATAAATTAACTACCAAATTCTTAGATATATGCAGTCAGTGTCAGTCTGTTAGTAATTTTTAAATTTCCTCAAAACTACAGCTATTTATTTTGAATGTAATAATTATTTACAAGACTTTAGAACACTGGTAGACTTTCTGTAGTAGTGGATTTATTAGATATTATTAAGCAAACATATGCTTTTATCTACTCTATCTTAACTCGATGACATCATAAAATTTGATGATACTTCCTGCATTCATCTTTATCACTTTGGTGCTAAACAAATAATAACAATAAAAATAAAATGTAGCTAGGAAAAACATGTATGCAATAAAAGCTGTTTCCATTTGATAGGCTGCAAACAACACTCAAGTATTTTGTAATATGGTGAGATGAGAGGAAAGTAACATTGATCTAAAAAGTATCTGGGAAGAAATGAGAATTGAAGAGGAACAAACCATCTTCTTAATGAATTTGCCCTCCAGGGAAGCCTACATGGTTGAATAAACTGAAGTTGCTGGGGGAGGGGAACCTCAATCCACCCCACTCCTGCAGTTTGGTGCCACTGCCAGCAACAGATGCCCAGAGGATGCCCAGAGCCGGGAGAAGGATCACGGGTCGGCAGGAGAACACCAGAGGAGTGGCAC